CTAGCGGTAGAAAGTGAGGCTTGCTGCGTCCACCGTGACCAACTGTCCAACTCTGTGGACGTTCACTACTTCACTCCAGTCCAACACCAACACCGCCGTCGTCTCGGTCCAACTCACGCATATCGAAACCGAAACCTTTGCATCATCCACTCTATGTCAAAATACCCCAGGACTGAGTGCCAAGGCCAGGCCTGCAGTCATATTGAGTCATGAAATGTCACAGATGGGTCCGCCAGTAGATCCGTCATTGAGTCATGACCAAGGTCAACTATGTATCGTAGGTCCTTTTAACCATTTTGGTGACGTATGAATACCTTATTAATTTACCGATGATGTCAAAATTAATTACATTTGCCAATAAATATGAGCATAAGCTTTCCCCTTTTTATATGTGACTAGTTTTGACTCCATTGCTTTGCGTATTTTAGTCATAAGTATACTTGGAAAACTGAATATACGTAATGCTGTAATACTGCTATTGTAAATTTACTGAAAGAAATATGCTACGTAACTAAAATACGAAATAGTTTAGATGCATTATGCGCTGTAAGCCAGAATTCAAATTCAAATTTTTGTAAATAATCATAATAACAAAACTCTGAATTTAAAGTAAATAGACTTTTGGAGGATTTTATCAATAATATCGATATATAAATAATCTCACACCAGTCGCAGTGGCGACATGCAATATGTCATAGTGTACCGCAGGTAAAATATTCAATTGGCAATATTGGGGTGTAATCCATCTTGGCACAGACATGATTGCCTCGCATCGCGCAGTTCTTCTGTAGGTCAACAATTGAAAATCAATTTGCTCCTACCAAAGAGTTAATTGGTGCCCTTTGTCCTGGGATAGTTGACGGTGGCATTTTCATCCAGTATGTTGGGTGTGTTGGATATCAGGCTGGATTAACATCACAGGTTTTTCCATCAGTGCCATAGTTTATTTCTAGAATTGTTAAAATGGCAAATGAAGATTTAAAACTTACAAAATAATTAACTATAGTCGTCACCATAAGTTATTTCTTAAACAAGTTTTATTTACCATTTTATTTCGGATTTTTTTATAGTGGTCAATATACAAAGCATCTCCTAAAGTTAATATTTTGTTGAGCTTGTTAAATGAAACTGGGCTTAACAGCATTTTTCATAACCTATGTACGTACAAATTCTAAATACTAGCCTTATATAATGAACCTTTACAAAATACTGAGAACCAAGTTGATAGCGTAGTAAAAGTTATTCCTCCTTAATTGTGGATACGATTCGTCTATCAAACAATCTACTAAAAATTATCTGTTAAAAAGTCTAAATAGTTTTACTGTATACTTTTTGTTCCAAATTGAAAAATAAAAACAAATAAAAATGTACCTAAATGCGTATTGAATTTAAATTAACTTAGTATATTTTCTCGATAGCTCGAGGTAATCAGGCACGCATCAATAACAGCTTCAGATGTATAATTCGTAGGTCTGCACAGTTCACAGTTCAATGTGGGGCACTGACTTTAGCTTGGAGCCAAGTCTGACAACACAATAAGCGGACGAACAATGTACGTTTGATTGACTGACCTAGATCATGTGTTTTGACACGACTGAACCAATCAACAGTCCTTTGGTTGTTAAAGTTATTACTTGTACTGCGTTTGTTGCAGTACATCCAGATAAAAGGTAACCGTTTTGAAGGGTCCAAACGCCATAATTTTATTGGGTATGGCAGGGTTAATCTGTCACTTTCAAGGAAGCCATTGCTTAAAAATACATAATAGAGTATATCAAACTACGTGTGACTGGCAAGAATTATAGCTGTATACTTGAACGTTATAAAACTACGGATGGAGTATGGGCAAATTATGTCGAAAAAAACTCTTATTATTTAAAAACTTGAAACCCTAATTCAATTTCAATGTTTTGTAGCATAGTCAGATTATAATAGATTTTCAAAATGAGTCTCCGTCCATATTTACTATACAGCTTCTATTGGTATAACCCATTTTATAGGCAATGAAAATCAACGTCATCACATGCAAATCATATGAACACATCACATGCAACATAATACAAAATTGTTTAGTTAAATTAAAACCCGTTTATTTGAGTGTAAATGAAAGCATTACAACATTTAAATGCATAAAGCTTAGTGTTTCGTGTTGTACAGGAGCTTCGGTTGAGGATGTGGAACAAATATTATGAACAACGAGGTGTTGTGTGTTGAGAGCTGAGAGTGTTTAGAGCGGTGTTCCTACGAGCTACCACCATATTTACAAGACCTACGCCCAATATTTACCTGCCTCCGACAGCGCTGACAAAATACCCACAAGGCTCTGACGGTGAAAAATACACGGCAAATCAATATACTGTATTTCATCAATATGAAAAGTGTTATGTCTGAATCTTGCTGAAATTTTACTATTATTCGTTTGTATTTTGAAAATATATTTTTACACAAATTCCGAAATTAACAAAATTATATGATAAAATATCAAAAGAGTAGGCAGCTATGCTCAACACTAACAACATGACGCAAGTAAACTTGCAAAAATTTTGTTGATTTATTGAGTTGTTTATCCACCCCTACTATGGTTAACGCTTGTATAAGCGTTCTTCGAAAACTAATGTAATCAAAGGTAAGGTATAATCAATGATAATACTTACAGCGCACATTACTTCAACTGTGGATATTCCAATGTTACAAACTTAAAAGATACTTTCTAGCTCCTGATATTAGTCTCAAAAGAGTTTACATCATCCAAATTTATAGTCTCACCACTCACCGAGAATGTATAAGAAATGTTAAGGACAGATTGTGCCCGTCTATTAGGTCAAGGTCTAAGCACTGACTATTGTATTGTAACTGATATATCTATACTACATATATCTATAATGTTTTTTATGTATAACAAAATAGTCAATATAAGACGGATGTTTTATGTTTTTATGCCAAATTTAGTTTGATGAAAAAATAGGGAATAGTAAGTATTGTGTGTAACATTTTTTGTACTAAGTAATTTGATTTGACTATTTTGTTGCAAGATACAGCCATTTTGTAATATTATCAGGGACATGATTTGTGTTGTGAAAAATCTGTTAATAGAAACCACATCAACCTCTTCTAATGAAGGTATAAGCGTTAACATTTGTATGAAATCAATAACATCTTGCTGGACTATGTGTAGACATTTACTCGTTCTCTTTAGCAGGGAAAATAATTCTGCTGTACGTTTGTCGTTAAGTTTTCATCCGTTCTCATTCAGTTTAGCCAGCTATTCTAGGAATCGGAAACCCTCCCTCTCGCAGAACCTCCTCACCTCACTCATCTCCACTCATTCAGTGGAAGACCCCAGTGGTACTATTAGTAGCGCGGTGGTGGTGGATGCCCGTGGACGCGCCTCTTCTGACTTGATAGTGCGTTCACGTCACCGTCACCACAGCCACACGCCTGTCAGACCAAGGCCTAGCAATGATAAGACTTCAACTGTGGATATCCCAATATTACAAACGTACACTACTTTCTAGCTCTTGACATTAGTCTCCAAAGATTTGGAGACGTTCATCGATACTGTCGGGGAAAAAAGTTTAGACACTCGAGTTTGGAGCTCTACAGAAAAATAACAAAAATACTTAGAAAATCACGGATTATATCTTAATTAGCTTTTTTTATTCTACGTATTCCTATAAAAACAAAAAATAGCTCGTTTATAATGTTTTTATGACAGTCGGAAAATAATAAACCCTGTGTTAAACTATTGAAAACCATCTTATGACTTTGACTATTCGCACAATGTTTAAACTAAACGTCACAGTATCCACTGTCACATTTGACTTGTTATGGTCTAGATATACAAACAGCACAAGTGAAATAATGCAAATTAATTAATAGTTTTATTAATCTAATAATTAATTGTCTTAAAAACATTTATAGGCTCCTATTTTATTTTCACACGATCATATATTTCTTGAATTTTAGGCTACATTTAGTTTTCTTCACAACCGGCAATTCTACGTGGTAATATTTAACAGGTAAAAAGATAAAGGGGATATGTGTTAAATTCGTTATTCCTCGGGTACGAGTTTGGAATCATATTTTAACGCGCGATTTGCACTCGGCCCCCCAATTATTAATCTCAATATCACGAAAAAGACTCGTTGAATCTTCAAACGTAATTAATTACTCAAACGAGAAGGACTCGGGATTTGTTTGAATACGGATGTCATTAGTGAACATAGCGTCATTAAAGTTGTTTACGCAGCAAAAGCGCACAGCGAAGAATTCCGAAGTGAGCTTTGTTTTTGTGGATTTGGAACCGTTGTCTATTTCGTCTTTGCTGTAATTCTGGCTTGCAAAATATTTTCAATTCTGTTTAGTGCTACCAATAAACCGTTTCGGCCGTTATCAGCGTTCATTGAAAACTGGAAATTATAAAAGCCTTGATACTGCGTATAGACAGAGTGATCACACTACATATCATCGATTTTAGTTTAACATCTAACTACAGAAGTCTTATCTAAGTTGATCAAATTAACATATTTCTTAGATTACATGTCACAAGTCTCTTTGCCTGATTGCAGATAATATAATCGGTTCCCGTGTTACGTGTTTATTGAAAAACTGTAAACGACAAATATCTACCTGAGGAACTAAGTCCAAAATTAGGATTTTTTTACTTCACCCATTGTACAAAAATGTTAACACAAAAAAAGTTACCAGTTCACAAAAATTCAACCAGTTTGGTGACTCGAGGTCTCCGAACGTAGTTCATAGAAGAACAATAAAGTACTTATTGTTTCCTTGAGGTAATGAAAGTTTAAGACTAAAAGCTACCTACCTGGAGTTTAAATCAGTAATCAGATATTTTTGCTATTGACTGTACACACAGTTTTTGATCACCAAATATGAAGTCATAATTACGGCAAAAACATTTAATAAACAAATTACCAGCACTAAATGATCATACCGTATTTATTTTGTTATCATATAGGAAAGTGTGTTGAGTGTTTTACCTTGTTGTGCTGAGACGAGGGAAACAGCGGCAACAACTAGTAAACATCCAACGAGACCCATGTTGATGTTGTACACATACACTAACTGATCATGGCACTGACATCACGGACACAACGACAGAAGACACAACAACACCGTCGCTGCACGGAGGGCCGACGCAACACTACTGGACTGACTGCCCTACCCTACCCAACCCACCTTCAGTGTAGCGGTGCTACCCCCCCCCCTCTCCCTGTACCACCACCCACACCTACCCGTGGTAGTCATCAGGCCCAGCTTTGATGATATAAAATTCTCTTATTATTTTCCCATCGGTTACGCAATAAAGCAGAACCCTTTGATGAAACTAAGTTAATTATAAGAAACCATTTTTCGAAGCGGTTTCTCGCCAATCAAGAAGTTTTTCAAACAAACGGTTTTATTACAGAAGCTGTTAATTTGAAGTTTGGACTGTCTCAAAGAAAGTTTGCGACAGAAAAGCTTTCTCAGGTGGAAACTGCGCAAATGTATTTGGTTTATTGCATTTTGAAAATCTGCACTTGTGAAAAATTAGAGTCGTACAGTACATACTTATCTATGTTGAAAATTGTGTTCTAATGTACGTGAACAAATCTATCGATATACCTAATACAATAAGGTTTTTTTTTCTGTTGCATCCCCTTTTCAGATGTCCTCCTTAACCGAGTTTCTTTCACGATTGAGATGTCATTAATCTTAAAGCTTATCAGCTTATGTATGATGATTCGAATGGTACGATAAACGGTATTCCCTTCAGGGCTTCAACCTCTTTGCGTTTCAACTATTTCTTACGTTCACTTTCAAAGATCCAGTGTTGCTGGCCAACTTTCTTTATAACTGTTTTAATATGAATCGAAATCTAACAGCTGACCCTTTAGTTGAATGTTTAACAACGCTTGACTGTAAACAAGAGACAGACGAAACAGTTTATGATATTGAATTTCAAATATGCTACTTTTAGCGAATTTCCCATATAGGGAATAAGCTATTACCGTAGTACTCATGGTAAGACCTGGACCCGAGACAGATTTAATTTTTCATTTTGAGGTCCCTAGAGGCCAAAAAAACCATCCGTTCAAATTCATATATATATATATATATATATATATATATATGTGTCCGTTAGCGCGATAACTCGAGCAAAAATGATCCGATTTTGATGAAATTTGGTACAAACGTGTAAACTTACGTTTATTCGAACGAGTTCGCGATCCAGCATAATCGGACCATGGGAACGGGGGATTATGGAGGGTTTTATGGGGTAAAAATGGGTTTTTCCCATTTTTGAACCTAAAAACAAAAAATTTTGCGATTTCTTTCTAAACCATTTTGTAGAGCTTAAAAAAAGAAATAATTTAGTACATTGAAGCGCTGTTGTATGCCTAACGGTCACGGAGAAAATTCAAAAATAGTGTAATTGAAAATTCCCATGTTATTCTTATGGAGAAAATGAAAATTGTTGTAGTTTACTTGTTTATGGGTATATATTGATAAAATTTGGCAAATTTATTTATTTATCCTATACTATTGACGTATGGTCAAAAAACACTTTTTACCTTCCCCGTAGCAGCAAACCTAAGCACTCGTTAAATCTAATGTTATTTAAATAGGGAATAATATGTCTTATTTATGGAAATATTTTAGTAAAAATGTAATCAGACGAGTTGAAATTCGCTTAGTCTGCAGGTTTGCTGCGGCGGGGGTATTTTATAATTGCATCGTGATAGAGGTAGGTAGATAAACAACTCTTCAGTCTTTTACGACGAAGATCTTTGAAAGGTTAAAGAGTGTATTGCATTGCTACTTGTAATTATTATACTTGTAATTATTCAATCAAATTAAATTCAAAAACCTTTATTTCATTCAACATCATGCTAAATATTTGACATCCTCTTGTGCACACGCACGAGGTACATACAATGGTGTTACTGGCAGAGTCTATTCACTGTTGATAACAATACACAAATACAATAAATAATCATGGAATATGAGCTTACAACAATGACGGAGCATTTTTACAACAAAAAAAAAAACAAAAACACATGCAACAAAGAACAATAAAAATACTCATGCTTTTACGAGGAAAAAATAAAGTGATTACATTTCTATACATTATAAAGATTTTACAAAGTTCATAATTTTCTTCTTAACACTAGTTACATTATAGGAACTGTTTAAAAGGTTAATAATTGTTTCGGAAAATGTATTGAAAATCTTAACTGTAAAATCTCTACTGATGAGAAGCACAACTGATTCCTTGACATGTCACGTTTCAAACGTGGAACTACAAGTGTTTATATTTTTGAGGCTCTTGTACATCTTTGATAGTTCTTAATGCCATACAAAGTGTGGTTTTTGTTACAAAATTAATAACAGAAAACAATTATAATTGTGAAAAAGTCAATATATCTAGTTCTTTGAACATGTAAGTTATACTTTTATACTTTGTTTTATTAGATATGTTTCGTAGGGCAAATCTTTGTGACATTTATATTGGCAAAAGAGTTGTTTGATAAGTGCCTCCCCAGTATATTTTTTTTTTGTCCTAGGACGCTAGGCACGAGTCTGGGATTGTTTTTCACATTACTTCAGGCTAGACCTAGGGGTTGCGGCATTATCACTTAGATAAATCCATTGGTGACTTGGCGGGGATCGAACCCGGGACCTCAGGGACTGAAGTCCCGCGCTCTAACCACTACGCCAGCTCGCTCCCCAGTGTATAAGAACATAACACATTGTAGACTCAGATCATGCTGTATACAAAGTTTTCAAATACTCAGGGCCAATATAACTCCTTACAAAATATAATAGATAGTTAATCTTTCTAAGTTTTAAGTTTAAATAATCTACATGATGGTTCCATTTAAAGTTTTTATCAATTATTAAGCCTAGATATTTAACTTTTTCACACATTTCAATATTATGACAATTGCAACTACTGTATAAATACAACCATGTACATGACACTCAAGAACAAGATAAAATTCATTTGCTTTACAAGTAAAATCAATACATTTAGTCTTCTTAATATTTACAATTTGTTTGTGTACTGTACACCAATTACTTTTTTTTTAAACCTCCTGCAAACATTTTCGCAACATAGTATAGTTTTTATTTTTACAAATAATAGCTGTGTCGTCTACAAAAGAACATATATATCTGAGTGTAAATTTAATTTTAACAAATCATTAACATAATATAAAAACATTAAAGGCCCAAGAACGCCTCCTTGATCGATTCCAAATCTCGAATTACATTCATCAGACAATGTTCCATTAGTTTTAACAATTTGATTACGATTTAAAATGAAATCAGAAAACCAGTTATGTATTGTTTCTCTTGCTTCTAACCAATCGTCTTCTTGCAAACCATATGCTTCTATTTGTCAATTAATATAAATGGATCAATACGGTCAAAACCTTTGGACAAATCTATGTACACTCCTGTGCTGGTATAATGATATTTCAGTTCCTCTTCCAGGGATGAAACCAAACTGATTCTGTGAGAATAAATTATGTTAAAGCATGTAGTCATTTACGGTAGTTTATTTTAGGTAGTTTATTTTTCACGTGGGTTTCTTAAATTTTTTAAATGCAACTCAGAAGATATATTGAACGATAATTTGACATTTCAAGGATATCCCCATTCTTCTACACAGAAACAACAACTGCAGTTTTTAATGAATTCGGGAATATACCTGACACCAAAGACATGTGGTAATGATGGTGCAGAACCGGAACAAATACATCTATGTTGGTTTTTATAATCATTTATGTTATCAACCCCACTAGAATATTTACTATCTATGCTCCTAATAATATTAAAAACTTCGACTGGAGTAATATTTACTTGCTGTAATCCATGTATAATTTGACGTAAAACTGGCTGTATGTGCAAATCCTCTCCAAAATAGTTATACTTTAAATAGAAACCTATTAAAATGCGCAACTTGCACATGGTTACCCATGTTATATTTATATCTGAAAGGCTCTGCGCATTTCTTAGCGAACTAAAACTATTACAATAAGCACTAAGTATCAATTACTCACTAATGTAACCATAAGCATTGAACAACTGTATGCAGTAAGAACAAAAACGTCATGCGAATAAGAGTATTTTCAGTACTATCTGAAATCAGTAAAAGCAAAGATCTTATAGGCCAAATAAGGTACATTAAAAGAAAGAGGTGAATCGTACTTAGATGAATTCAAGTAAAATGAATAGCTTTGTAAATATTATAATCATTGGGTGGCAGCGGACGTATCACCAACCCGAGTATAGGGTCAGAGGGAAAGACATCTTGAATTTGCTTGTAAATTAACCAACATCTTAAGAAAAACAATACCCATTATGATTTAATACAGTCAACAAATTGTCTGTATTTAGTATACGTGGCATAACAATAAAGCAAGTGTACTTTACAGATTCCGTGATGTCGTATTTTACATGAAAGTACAAAAACGCCGTATTTTAGAAAAAAGGACAATTTTTCGTACTACCCTACCCTAGAGGCGTAGGCAAGGTTTTTAAATTAGACATACGCGAAACTAGGGGTAGGTTATATTTTCAAAGCGAGATTATAGTAGAAATACAATTGACTTGGGTTGACAAACTGTTTTCTAAGGTCCTGCTGTACTGTCCAAGAAAAAATACAAATGTAAATTCGGCCACACTCTTGTCAGCGATCATTGAGATGACATATTTTTTATAAAATAATGTATCGCGCACGATATGAAAATTAATATATTGTAATTTTAGTAACTGATTATTTATTAGACAGAACTTGCAGTAAATTAACGTTTGATGTATGTTCCCTGTATGGCCGTACAAGTGGACGACCGCTCAGGCTTGATGTGAGGGCGGAGCCCGGGGCAACGACCCAGTGTCCCGGGTCACTCCCTAAAGGACTATTGCACATAGACTTTTATGTTGTAACAACATCTCATAATGTTTATTACTATATTGAAATTTCCTCCAAATAAACTATAAAAAGTTAGGTATAAAAAGTTCGTATCATTACTGCTAAAGAGCGCCTAACAATCTTCACATATTTTACTGCTAATCTAGAGTGTCTCCCGATATAGTTCGGCCGCTTAGAAAGCGACCTCCTCCAGCATTGGTTTAGCATTAGCGCGCAGGTCGTT